CATCTTGAAAATGGCTGCAAAGGTAGGGTTTGCTGTAGAGGTTAAAATCGAATTATGGTATCTGATGATACCGTCTAAAAAATAACAGATGCCCCTTATCGTAGGCATAAAAATTGCCCTAAATTTGCCTCATCATAGGCAAAAACATTGAGGCCATATATACTGATTCAAAAACAACCTTTGTTTTCATTGTTGGGAGAGGACCATATTATTGCCCAGCTCAATTAGAAAATAATAGATAATAACCTATCCAGAGCAATTTAGTCCTTCACCTGGTTGAAGCTAACTATTCTACTGCTGTGACTACAGTCTACTGATTAAAGAACTGACTGCCGTAACTGAAGGAGAACACTCTCTTTTATAAATCAGACTTTATCTAGAGTGCTATATTAAACCATGCACCTTTGGTGGGAACAAACACTAGGTTACTCTATTTTGGGTCCTCAGCAAGTGGCTTTAAGTCTAAAATATGACAGGTGCTCAATCAACATTGCTAAATGAAATTCTACCTGCACAGCTTCATCACGTGCTTGCTTTTCTTCCTGTCTTCTCTGACGCTCTTCCTGTAGCTCATTCAGCCTCTGTTCATATTCCTTCAATTTTGATAAAACATCATGGCGTTTGTTCTGGGCTTCAAGGGTATTTATAAAGGCAATTTCATTTACCTTTAAAAAACAAAGAAGGTAAGGTTCAGATGAAGTTAATTCCAGGGCACATTACAAAAATAAGAAATCTAACAACAGTCTTTATATAATAACATTAACCAGTAGTAAGGCGTGGAACCAAAAAAAATGAATTATGGGTTTTTTCTTTCAATATTTACCTCAAAATGGATAATTATCCAACGTGTATTAAAAATCCACAGGCCTTAGAAAGAAGTGATTTAGAGGTCTGCCACTGAAAATATTTTTAAGTGAAGAAACAATTTTAAATTCTTATAGAGACCATCTTATAAAGTTCTACTTATTAACACTGTAATTTGCAACTATACGAATTACACAAACATTGAAACAGATATGCTCACGTTATTCTAATGAGCTGGAAAGGACAAATGTAAGATAAAAAACAAATTATTTTTCTTCAACATATATTGAATGAGTGACAATTAGGTACAAAGTACGAAACTATACATTGCATACTTAGGGTTCACATATATTGATTCTTGCCAGTCAAGTTTTGCTAGAAAGTAGAGATTTTATGAGCAAAGAATAGCTAATAATAAAGCTAAAAAATCGGGTGGCATCAAACCTCTTATTCCTGAAAGCCAGAGGGAGGGTAGGCTACAGTTAAAATGGTAGAGTGAAGTAGGGAAGTGAACACTACAGACAACTCTCTTTGACAGCTGCAGACTGCATAAATCCATGCTGGATGGAGTAAAACCTATGTTCAGATATTTCATAAATCTCAGACAAGTCTGAAGATCCAACTAATCTTTCCCAATCTCCAAGCCATGATATCACTTCTATAAGCACTTTAATAAGTAGAATAAATCACAAAAACATCCTTCAACATGTACTGAAAGTACTCAAAACACAAGACAGGCTGGGTGCTGTGGCTACACCTGTAATCCCAGGACTTTGGGAGGCCAAGGTGGGTGGCTCATGAGGTTAGGAGTTCAAGACCAGACTGGCCAAGATGCTGTAGCCCCATTTCTACTAAAAATAAAACTTAGCTGGGTGTGGTAGTGGGCACCTGTAGTCCCAGCTACTTGGCAGCCTGAGGAGGAGAACTGCTTGAACCCAGGAGACAGAGGTTGCAGTGAGCCGAGATTGTGCCATTGCACTCCAGCCTGGGCGACAGTGTGAGACTCTGTCTCAAAAAATATATAAAAATTAAAAAAACAAGATAAACAAATATGTTCAAGGAAAATATGTTCAAACTATATCAGGGCACACATATTAAACATAATCAAGATGAAAAAAAAAGTAATGGGACCTAATACAGTAAGCAAATTTTTACAATAAAATAAAACTCAGAAGGGAGAGAGTATGCAAAAGCAGATTAAGCAACTCAATCTTGGCAGGGTGCAGAGGTTCATGCCTGTAATCCCAGCACTTTGGAGGCCGATGTGGGCAGACTGCCTGAGCTCAGGAGTTCAGCCTGGCCCAGGAGACCAGTCTGGGCAACACAGTGAAACCCCGTCTTTACTAAAATACAAAAAAAATAAACATAAAACTTAGCCAGGCATAGCAGCGTGCACCTATAATCCCAGCTACTTGGGAAGCTGAAGCAGAAGAATTGCTTTAACTTGGGATGCAGAGGTTGCAGTGAGTGGAGGCTGTGCCACTACACTCCAGCCTGGGTGACAGAGCAAGACTCCATCTCAAAAAATAATAATAACGACAACCTAAGAAACAGCAGAAAATTCATTAGACAAACGACAACACTGAAGAATTTGACAAAAACATAAATTTAAAGAAGCAAAGAAAAGATGACAAAACAACATACAGTAGTCCCTCCTAATCCACAGGGAATACATTCCAAGACCCGCAGTGGATGCCTGAAATCACGAACAATACCTATATAGGCAGCCCTCCATATCCATGGGGCTCTGCATCCATAGATTCAACCAACCACAGATCAAAAAAAATTTTTTAATGGGTGATTGTGTTTGTACTGAACATGTACAGGCATACCTCAAAGATATTACAAGTTTGGTTCCAGCCCACCACAATAAACTGAGTATCACAATAAAGGAAGTCACACAAATTATCAAATGTCCCAGTGCATACAAAAGTTATTTTTATACAATACTATGGCCTATTAATTGTGCAACAGCATTATGTCTAAATACTGTACACATCTTAATTCTAAAACAATTTTTCTAAAAAATGCTAATGAACGTCTAAGCCGTTAGCAAGTTACAATCTTTTTTTCTGGAGGAGAGTCTTACCTTGATGTTGATGGCTACTGACTAATCAGCATGGTGGCTGCTGAAGGCTGCAGTGGCTGTGGCAATTTCTAGACAACAATGAAGTTTGCCACATTAATGGACTCTTCCTTTCCTCAAAGATTTCTCTGTAGCATGTGATGCTGTTTGATAGCATTTTACCCGTAGTAGAGCTTCTTTCAAAATTGGAGTCAATGCTCTCAAAACCTGCTACTGCTTTATCAGTTGATTTTATAGAATATTCTAAATAATTTATTTCAACAATGTTCACAGTATCTTCACCAGGAAGATTCCATCTCAAGAAACCACATTATTTGCTCATTCATAATTAGTAACTTGGATGTGAGGGCAATCTGGCTGCAAAATCTGTTACCCCATTGATCCCAGGGTTAATTCAGCTGATCTGGTTGGCTAGGTGGGTGTACATATTGCTTAAAGTCTTCAAAATAAAAATTAATCACTTTTAAAATAAAAATATGGTCACTATTTTAAATACAAAATAATATTAAAGAAATCTAGAGTAATGGATTTATATTTAAGCTTGAAGAACATGAAAAGTCCCTGAAGATTTCTGGACTGAGAGGTATTACAATAATGCCCTCCAGAAAGATAAATTTGGAAGGAGGAGAAACAAAAGGGAAGAATATCAACTGTAAATATTTAGGAGGGAGATAAAAATAACCTGATGGCAGTTGCAACGGAAAACACACAGGTGCCTTCAGAGTTATAGTACTGCAGGTGAATGTATACATGGGACTCCAAAGAAAATGTCAGAAAAAAGTATCTTCCTGATTACACAAAACATAATAAAAAAGAGATTAAGAAGAACAATGAAATGAAGTAAATGAATACAAGTTTTTCAAATCTAGGTTAATAGGTGACTAGTTATTATCATCATCATCTGAAATATGGACTTCAGTATAAAGCACTTGGTATGGAATGAAGGCGATGATGAGCTGATGAGTTCCACTGGATACAAGCACCGAACAACAGGAAATTGAGTCGGGAGCTCAGCTGAAGGTAGAGCTAAAGATTCAGATTTAGAAATCACTGCAGAGAAGACAATTGAAGGAGTGGTAGTAACTGTGATACTAAAAAAGAGTAAGTGAGGTGAAACTTCATTTTGCATTTACATTTAACCAACAAAAGAAAGAAGGAAAGAGAGTAAAGGATTGGTTAGAGAGTAGAGGGAAAATCAAGACAGTGCAGAAGAAAGTATTCTAGAAAAAGGGGCCTGATGGTGTTCATATGAAGTGATTCAGAAAAATCTTTTTAACTTAGTGAAAACAGAGTAATATTCTCAAAGGCAAATATAATAGCAGAAAGGGGAAAATGATATAAGGAATTAAAGAAGACATGGGTGATGAGATAGTAGAAGCAAGCTCAGACAATTATTTCTCAGAAATTTGGGGATTTTAAAAGTACAAAACCGGTAATCTATTTATCTAGAAGAAGACAGCAAAGGAGCAGGTACAAGAAAATAACTGATTGAAAAAAAAAAAAGCAATTCCAAGAGCAGCAAGAAAGACATAAACAGAACCCACAGCAGAAGGAATAAGAAAAGGTGTCTTCCTCAAAAATAAAAATAAACAACAATTATTACTAGACATGTTGCAAGTGAAAATGAGTCAATGAGACCATTAAGAAACTGAAAGTCAATATCATACTACTAAATAATGGACTATGATCGAATATAAAATCAGGTTCTGAATAACTCTGTCTCCAATATTAATCACTATCAACTGAATACTAGCTAATTTCTTTTCTTTTTCTTTCTTTTTTTTTTTTTGCAGGTTGTATGGGTTTATTGTTCCAATACCACAACAGACATACAAAAGCAGTGGTTTCTCTGGGTAGCCCCAGATCAGTGCTTTCTCTGGGTAGCCCCAGATCAGTGTCAAACTGTGTACCCTGAGTGTCCCCAAAGGTTCCAGCAGAGGGAAGAGGACTGGACGTGCTTAGGCCCCTGTTCCCGTCCTTCGGTAAACAGATGCTTAAGTTGACAACTTGGACTTGGCCAATACTGCATTCTAAATCACATCATTGGCAACTTGTCACTCATGCTTCAGATGATGAAAATGCCACATCAGATTAAATGAGAAAAAAAAACTTTCAGATAAAATTAGACTTGAAGTCATAAAGATTTTATCCTTGTCCTAAATTAAGCAAGGATCCTCAATTCTGTAATAAGTCGAAAATACAAGAAATAAGGCAGGGAACAAGGCAAGAGAAGACACATGCAGGGGCATCTACTTGCTAGGAACATGTTGGGAGAGAGGCAGGAGCAGGCATGGCTTTGTTTGTTCCCAAACCTGCCTAATGTCAAAAGTACGTCAAAAGGAGCCTCACGGTCCCAGGAGAGCATGGTCCCAGGCACTGCTGTGACAGGTGGTGACCCTGGAGCCAGATCTGGAAGGCCTTCCTGGGAGCTGCCCAGGGAACTCACCCATGAATCCAGAAGCTCTTAACACTGGTGGTGGTGATTTGTCGCATATGGCAGCGAGCAGCCATTAAAGGCTGTAGGAGGAGGAGAGGTGTGAGAAGCAAGATGCGTTTGCTCAGTGGCGTGTGGACAGGCTGACTGTGGCTCTGCAGGCTGCAGCAGATTCACCTGGTGACCCGACAGGGCATCAGGCAACCTGGCAGGTCACAAGTCAAGTATTTCACCCTCACGTCGAGCAGCACAGCACTCAGTGGCTCTGACAACAGGTGTAGAGAAGCAAATTACACCACTTTAATGCAATGATGCTGAAGATGTAAAATTAGGAAGAGACATTCATGTTCTCTGTACAATACATCCATTTACAAAATCGGCCAGTACTGTGTACAACATATAAATACATGATAAAACATTAGAGGTGCATAGAGCATACTTACAGAAGCCAAAAAGTTCACTTTATACATCCAAGAATAAAGAGTTAAAAATATAAAAATAAGAAACACAAACTGTGCTTTGAAATGTAAAATGACTTTCACATACACAAGTGCGTGGAGATGCCCACTCCCAAAGGGTCCAAAGTGACAGGGAAGATGTCAAGCATAGGAATTCACCTGCAACCGTCTGGACAGCTGACTCGCCAGGTCTACAGATGGCATTTTCATAGGAAAGACAACCCTATTCCCCAACCCCATTGTCCAAGCAGAGCTATTCAAGGTTCCAAATGATCCTGTGGGCTAGTGGATTGCACCAAGACAGAAAAGTCCCAAATTTGCTTCAGCAACAGAACTAACGTCAAACTTGCTCCATCAACTGGCAAATGACTCAACTGTGACCCTAAGGTCAGCCGGTGCTCCAGCCCCCTGGTGGGCAATGATGAGAATTACTTTAACCCTGTGCTGGCTTCTTTGAGACCAACAACTCCCCCAACCAAGTAGCAGAAGAAAAGATGGCAGGGAGGGGACAGTGGAAGACTGGAATGTCTACTTAGTTCAGGTAGGTTAATTCCCTTGGTAGAGAATGCAACCTTCTTGCTTCAGTTTCAAGTCCCTCTGGGAGTCAGGCAGCACCTCCCACCGCCCCGACCCTGCTCCCTGCCACATCAGGCTCTGTCTGCAGGAGAGCTCAGGCTGGCTGGCTTTGGGCAGCCCAATGGGTTATACCCAGAAAATCCCTCCAGCAAGACCAGAGGGGTCGACAAGTGACACAGAGCACTATAAATTTGGGGGAAAGGCAAGAGTGCTCCCGCCTAAAAAGAGTATTGTATCAACGGTATTCTGTATACTGATTTAAGATCAATCATTATCAAAATACACACACTAAATAGACAATGTTTCCCATGGCCATAATTTATTATCTCACCACAAGGCACAACACACAGAGCTTTGAGGGTCCAATACAGTCATCATGACAACGCACCACAGCCTTGGCACATGATCATGGCTTTCAGGCTGCACGCACACTGGAGCAAGATGCTTTCCACCGTGCTGCTGTCAGTGAACATTTGCAAGGAAAGTGATGCACTGTGGCTTGCACCAAAGTTTGCTTTGTGGCTCAGCTGCACCACACTTCCAGCAAGGCCTTTGGGAAAGGTAGGAGAGCTAGAGGAATAATTAAAGCTCGTGGAACTCAGTTGGAGTTTAGAAAGCTTCCCATAAAATGCCTGCTTGATGCTGAGTTGGGAGGGCAGAGAAGGCTCCAGAGGCTCACTGAGCCCCTTCTCTGGCTCCTGGAGTAATTTCCAGAAGGGCAAGTCCATGACAAAGGGCATCCCTTGTAAGTGACCCAGCAGTTCCAGAGGACTATGCCCAGTAGCTTTTCGGTTCTCGGCATTTGCCTTAAGAGGACCCCCCACAAAAGTCTTCTCATTCTTGATGCTGCCAACAGAGGCAGATTGTGGCTTTGGAGTCCAGTCTTCCCTGCAAGTCTGTACCCCACCAGACACGGAGTTTGTGCTTGGTCCTGACTTCCCACTGGGAAAAACTGGAGGGATCTCAGCAGGCAGGGGCATCATGTCTGTAGGCCTGGGGTGCTGAAGAGTTGCAGCCACATTCCCAGAGCCAAAAAGCTTCTTCCCTTGGCCTGTAACATTGCCCTGATCACCCAGGGCCCGACCTGTCTGCTCTGGACTAAAGGAGATCACATTTGGAGATGAAAAACAAGGCGTTCTCGAGGTAGTAAGATCTCCTGAGCCCTTGCCTGGAGCAGCATTTGAACTACTGTCCTGTGACACGGCACAGACCTCCTTCTGATCTTCACAACTAAAGGAAGAGAACTGCTCTTCGGAATCCATTTCTTCCAGTTTCCTAGAGGAAGTAATCGGATTTGTCACTGGATAGAGGGAGTCAAAACTTGGGACTGTCTTGGAAATCTTCTGAGGTGCTTCAGGAGCCTGGGTGGCCTCTATCCTGGCAAGGTCAGTGCTTGTTTCACAGTTATCTGGTAGAAGAGTCTCCTTCAAAGCCCTTAAAGAACTATAGCTAATTTATTTTCAACCATCTATCTACCTAAGAAATAACTAAAGGATGAGAAATGACCATTAATTTACCTCAAGGACTCATAAAAAGCATACATGGAAAAGATCATCTTGAGTACGTAACAGGACTAAAATGAATATATTTGGTACATGTCTCAAGGAAAGCACATTTCCAGTAAAATTTAAATATTTTTTAAATCAGGGAAAAAAATCACTGGATTATTAGTACTTTTTGATTAGTAACAGAACAACAGAACTACAGGAGAGACTTAAGAAAAAAATTAGTAGATTTCATCTTCTATAATTCTAGTATTTTACTAGTGCTTATTTTATACCAAAGATGACATTAACTGCTTCACAACATGCATAATCTAACTTAATACTTACAGTAATTGAGATGTAGGTAAAATTATTCCCATTTTAAAGATGAATAAATAGGCTTAGAGAGGTAAAATAATACCTAAGGCCATTCAGCTACTAAGAGGTAGAGTCAGAACCCAAATTCAAGTTTACCTAACTCAAGAGACTTCAGTCTTCACTATGATAATAAAAATACTTTTGAATAAGGAAACAAATACAGTGTTTGTTTTCTTTGTAGAAATGGAATACATGTCCAGACAGGATTTCACAGTTTATTGAACTAAAAACAGTGACAATTAAGACCACCAATAGGGGAGCAAGTGGTAGCAAGGTTTTAAAACAGTATCTCTCATATTAGCAAGAATTTTAGTTACAGACTCTTGATTAACTTAAATTATTCTGTCAAAAGGCTACTGGAACTAATAAACTATTTGGGGAAGGTTTGAGGATACAAAAATTAATGTACAAAAATAATAGCACTTCTCTACAGCAATAATGCCCAGGCAAAGAGTCAAATCAAGAACACAATCCCATTTAAAATAGCCAAAGATCCTTTGGGTATATACCCAGTAATGGGATTGCTGGGTCAAATGGTATTGCTATTTCTAGATCCTTGAAAATCACCACACCGTCTTCCAACAACACTGTAAAAGTGTTCCTATTTCTCCACATCCTCTCTAGCATCTGTTGTCTCCAGATTTTTTAATAATCGCCATTCTAACTGGCGTGAGATGGTATCTCAATGTGGTTTTGATTTGCATTTCTCTAATGACCAGTGATGATGAGCATTTTTTCATGTTTGCTGGCTGCATAAATGTCTTCTTTTGAAAAGTGTCCATTCACATCCTTCGCCTACTTTTTGATGGGGTTGTTTTTTCTTGTAAATTTGTTTAAGTTCTTTGTAGATTCTGGATATTAGCCCTTTGTCAGATGGGTAGATTGCAAAAATTTTTTCCTATTCTGTTGGTTGCCAGTTCACTTTAATGATACTTTCTTTTGCTGTGCAAAAGCTCTTAAGTTTAATTAGATCCCATTTGTCTATTTTGACTTTTGTTGCCATTGTTTCTGGTGTTTTAGTCATGAAGTCTTTGTCTATGCCTACGTCCTAAACAGTATTGCCCAGGTTTTCTTCCAGGGTTTTTACAGAATTAGGTCTTATGTTTAAATCTTTAATTCATCTGGAGTTGATTTTTGTATAAGGTGTAAGGAATGGGTCCAGTTTCAGCTTTCTGCACATGGCTAGCCAGTTTTCCCAACACCATTTATTAAACAGGGAATCCTTTCCTCTTCGCTTGTTTTTGTCAAGTTTGTCAAATATCAGATGGTTGTAGATGTGTGGCGTTACTTCCAAGGCCTCTGTTCTGTTCCATTGGTCTATATCTCTGATTTGGTACCAGTACCATGCTGTTTTGATTACTGTAGCCTTGTAGGATAGTTTGAAGTCAGGTAGCATAATGACTCCAGCTTTGTTCTTTTTGTTTAGGATTGTCTTGGCTATGTGGTCACTTTTTTTGGTTCCATGTGAAGTTTAAGGTGGTTTTCCCAGTTTGGTGAAGGTCAATGGTAGCTTCATGGGGATAGCACTGAATCTATAAATTACTCTGGGCAGTATGGCCATTTTTATAATACTGATTCTTCCTAACCTTAAGCATGGAATGTTTTTCCATCTGTTTGTGTCCTCTCTTATTTCCTTGAGCAGTGGTTTGTAGTTCTCCTTGAAGAGGTCCTCCATGTCCTTTGTTAGTTGTATTCCTAGGTATTTTATTCTTTTTGGAGCAATTGTGAATGGGAGTTCTCTCATGATTAGGCTGTTTGTCTGTTATTGGTGTATAGGAATGCTTGACTTTTTTGCACATTGATTTTGTACCTAGACTTTGCTGAAGTTGCTTATCAGCATAAGGAGATTTTGGGCTGAGATGATGGGATCTTTTAAATATACAATCATGTCATCTGCAAATAGAGAAGACAATTTGACTTCCTCTTTTTTTAACTGAATACCCTTTATTTCTTTTTCTTGCCTGATTGCTCTGGCCAGAACTTCCAATATTATGCTAAATAGGAGTGGTGAGAGAGGGCACCCTTGTCTTGTGCCAGTTTTTAATAGGAATGCTTCCAGTCTTTGCCCATTCAGTATGATATTGGCTGTCGGTTTGTCATAAATAGCTTTTATTATTTAGAGATACATTCCATTGATACCTAGTCTATTCAGAGTTTAGCATAAAGGGCTGTTGAGTTCTGCCAAAGGCCTTCTCTGCATTTATTGAGATAATCATGTGGTTTTTGTCACGGATTATGTTTATGTGATGGATTATGTTTATAGATTTGCATATGTTGAACCAGCCTTGCATCCCTGGGATGAAGGCAACTTGATCACGATGAATAAGCTTTTCGATGTGGTGTTGGATTTGGTTTGCCACTATTTTATTGAAGATTTTCCCATCAATATTCATCGTGGATATTGGTCTGAAATTTTCTTTTTTAGTTGTGTTTCTGCCAGGTTTTCATATCAGGATGATGTTGGTATCATAAAATCATTCTATTATAAAGAAACATGCACATGTATGCTCACTGCAGCACTATTTGCAATAGCAAAGACTTGGAACCAACCCAAATGCCCATCAATGATAGACTGGATAAAGAAAATGTGGCACATACATACCATGGAATACTATGCAGCCATAAAAAAGATGAGTTCATGTCCTTTACAGGGACATGGATGAAGCTGGAAACCATCATTCTCAGCAAACTGACACAAGAACAGAAAACTAAACACCACATATTCTCACTCATAAGTGGGTGTTGAACAATGAGAACACTTGGACACAGGGAGAGGAACATCACACACTGGGACCTGTTGGAGGGTGAGAGAGCTAGGGGAGGGTTAGCAGGGAGTGGGGAATTGGGGAGCAATAACATTAGGAGAAATACCTAATGTAGATGATGGGGGAATTGATGCAGCAAAGCACCATGGCATGTGTATACCTATGTAACAATCCTGCACAATCGGCACATGTACTCCAGAACTTAAAGTATAATAAAAAATAAAAATAAAATAGCCAAAGAAAATGGAATACCTAGGAAAATATAGCTAACCAAGGAGGTGAAAGAACTCAACAATGAGAATGACAAAACACTGCTGAAAAAAATCAGAGATGACACACAAACAGAAAGCCATCCCATGAGCATGGATTATAAGAATTCGGATCATTAAAATGGCCATAAGCAATTTACAGATTCAATGCTATTCCTATCAAACTACCAATGGCATTCTTCACAAAATTAGAAAAAACTATTCCAAAATTCGTATGGAACCAAAAAAGAGCCCCAATAGCCAAAGCAATCCTAAACAAAAGGAAAAAAGCTTGAAGCATCACACAACTTCGAACTATGCTACAAGGCTACAGTAACCAAGACAGCATGGCACTGGTACAAAACAGACACACAAGCCAATGGAACAGAACAGAAAACTCAGAAATAAAGCTGCACACCTACAACCATCTGATCTTCGAAAAGACCATCAAAAACAAGCAATAGGAAAAGGACTCCTTCAATAAATGGCACTAGGATAACTGGCAAACTCTATGCAGAACAACAAAACTAGACCCTTACTTTCAACTACATACAAAAATTGACTCGAGATGGATTAAAGACTTATATGTAAGGCCTCAAAGTATAAAAATCCTAGAGGCCGGGCACGGTGGCTCACGCCTATAATCCCAGCACTTTGGGAGGCCGAGACTGGTGGATCACGAGGTCAAGAGATCAAGACCATCCTGGTCAACATGGTGAAAACCCATCTCTACTAAAAATAAAAAAATTAGCTGGGCATGGTGGCACACGCCTATAGTCCCAGCTACTCAGGAGGCTGAGGCAGGAGAATTGCTTGAACCCAGGAGACGGAGGTTGCGGTGAGCCGAGATTGTGCCATTGCACTCCAGCCTGGTTAACAAGAGTGAAACTTCGTCTCAAAAAAAAAAAAAAAAAAATCCTAGAAGAAAACCTAGGAAATACCCTTCTTGACATCTGCCTTGGCAAGGCATTTTTGGCTATGTCTCCAAAAGTAATTGCAATAAAAACAAAAACTGACAAGTGGGACCTAATTAAGCTAAAGATCTTCTGCACAGCCAAAGAAACTATCAACAGAGTAAACAGACAACCTAGAGAATGAGAGAAAATATTTGCAAACAATGCATCTAACAAAAGTCTAATACCTAGGATCTATAAGAAACTTAAATCGACAAGAAAAAAAAAAAACTCATTTTTTAAAATGAGCAAAAGACAAGAATTGACATTTCTCAAAAGACATACGAGCGTCCAACATGAAAAAATTCTCAACATCACTAAGCATCAGAGAAACAATAGATGCTGTTGGTTTTTGACTTTTTAAATACAAATTCTTTTTTGTTTTTTTGTGTGTATGTTAGTTTTGATTTGTATTTAAAAAGTCAAAAAATCATAGATGCTCATAAGGCTACAGAGAAAAGGGAATGCTTATACACTGTTGGTGGGAATGTAAATTAGTTCAGCCATTGTGGAAAGCAGTGTGGCAATTTCTCAAAGAATTTTCAACACAACTACCATTTGACCCAGCAATTCCATTTACTAGGGATATTCCCAACAGAAGACAGATCATTATACGAAAAAGACAGGTGCAGTTGCATGTTCATTGCCATGCTATTCACAATAGCAAAGACGTGGATCAACCCAGGAGCCCATCAATAGACTGGATTAAAAAAATGTGGTACATATACACCAAGGAACACACTATGCAGCCAAAAAAAAGAATGAAATTGTGTCCTTTGCAGCAACATGGATGGAACTCAAGGCCATAATCTTAAGTGAATCAATGCAGGACCAGTAAACCAAAAGACAACTGTCTCATTTATAAGTGGGAGCTAAACAATGAGCACACATGGACATAATCAGAGGAACAATAGATACTGCAGACTACTAGAGGTGGACGGGGAAGGGAGAGAGAGTTAAAAATTACCTAGCAACCAGTAATCCCAGCAATTTGGGAGTCTGAGGCAGTGGATCCCCTGAGGTCAGGAGTTTGAGACCAGTCTGGCCAAAATGATGAAACCTCGCTGCTACTGAAATTTAAAAAATTAGCCGGGTGTGGTGGCACATGCCTGTAGTCTGAGCAACTCAGGAGGCTGAGGTGGGAGACACGCTTGAACCCGGGAGGCAGCCCTATCAGTGATCTGAGATCGCGCCACCACACTTCAGCCTGTGCGACAAAGCAAGACTTTATCTCAAAAAAAGAAAAAGAAAACCCTGCCTATTGAGTACTATGCTCATTACTTGGGTGCAATATATCCATGTAACAAACCTGCACATAAACCCCCTGTATCTAAAATAAAAGTTGAAATTTTAAGAAAAAGAATTAAAGTAATTACAAATGGTAGCTGATATTCTCGTGTAAAGATACCCAGGAGTTGACCATCCATCTCTATGGAAATTATTTAAACTGTGATAAATAATTAGGTTAATGTGCTTGTAAGAGTCACTTTGGTTTAATAAAATCATATTGAAAGTAAGTATATTAAGCAATTAGACAAGTCAAAATGTACCTAAGTCATATTATAAATTATCACAAAATAAGAAAACTAAAGCAGTAAGTACAGTGGTAGAATCAGAGCCTTGGGAACCAGAAAGAATTGGATTTGAATACTGCCTCTATGATCATCAATAATATACCTTTAGACTGTCCCTCAAAAATAAAAATAATAATAATACACAGATCAGAAGTTCCACTTCCAGCCATAAGTACCAGGATGAAATTTACCCTTGAAATTTAAACAAATAACCAAATTGGACAAATATACAAAATATCTAAGATTCAATTAATATAATATACCAGATCAACAGAACAAGGACAAAAAAATACACTTTAACAGCGATAGACTGAGAAAAAGCATTTGACAAATCCAATATCCCTTAATAATAAAAACGCTCTACAAAAAATGAATAAAAATGAACTTCCTTGACCTGATAAAGAACATATAGTTGTCCCTCAGTATCCATGGGGGATTGATTCCAGGATTTACCACGGATATCAAAGTCAACAGATGATGAAGTCCCTTACAGTTGACCCTCTGCATTCACGGATTCGACCACCTGCTGATCGATCTGCAGGTGGTTGAATCTGCAAATGCAGAACCCACAGATGCCAAGGATCAACTGTACATGAAAACTCTACATTTAACACCATACTTGATGAGAGATTAAATCTATCTAGGAATATCAAGAATAACATACGGAGGTGCACTCTCACCACTTCTATTCAACAACACACTATAGGTTCTAGCCAGAGCATTAAACAAGAGAAAGAAATCAAAGACAACCAACTGGAAAGCAAAAGCAAAACAAACTATATTTGCAGATTATGCGACCTTGTTTATGAGAAATCCTAAAGAATTCACTAAAAAGCTATTAAAACTAATGAAGGAGTTCAAACAAGACTACAAGACGTAAGATCAATATATAAAGATTGACTGTATGTCTGTACACTGCCAATAAATAATCAAAAATGAAATTAAGATAACAATAGCATTTATAATCACATCCAAAAGAATATTTAGGAATAAATCTAAACAAAGCAGTGAAATACTTGTATAATGAAAACAAAACAATGCTGAAAGAAATTAAAGAAGACAAATCAATGAGGAAAGTCCACATTCATAAACTGGAAGACTAATATTGTTAAGATGGTAATACTAATCAAAGGGATATAAAGATATGTAATCCATAACAAAATGCTAATGGGCTTTTTTGCAGATATGAAAAACCAAACCTCAATTCGCATGGAATTGCAGGGTACACTATGTTGCTACATCATGTTTGGTGGGGACAGGGATAAAGAAGTTGGAGGACTCACCGCTCCCATTTCAAAGATTACTAAAAAGCACAGTAATCAAAACAGTGCAATATTGGCATAAGGATAGACATATAGACTGCTATGGTTTAGCTGTCTGTCCTCTCAAAGCACATGATGAAATATGTGATCTAGCTGGGTGCGGTGGCTCATGCCTGTAATTCCAGCCTTTGGGAGGCTGAGGCAGGTGGCTCATGAGGTCAAGAGATCGAGATCATCCCAGACAACATGGTGAAACCCCGTCTTCACTAAAAATACAAAAATTTGCTGGGCATGGTGGCGCTCACCAGTAGTCCCAGTTACTCAGGAGGCTGAGGCAGGAGAACTGCTTGAACCCGGGAGGCGGAGGTTGCAGTGAGCCAAGATTGTGCCACTGCACTCCAGCCTGGGGACAGAGCTAGACTCCATCTCAAGAAAAAAAAAAAAAAAAAGAAATATGTGATCAAAATGTGAAACAATCGTCAATGTTAGAGGTAGAGGCCTAATGGGAGGTGTTTGGGGCATGGGAACAGATCTCTCATGAATAGATTCATGCCCTCAGGGGAGAGGGGTGAGTTCTGCTATATTAGTTCCTACAAAAAGTTTCGTCAAAAGCTGGTTGTTTACAGAAGTTGGGCACCTCCCTCCTCTCTTACTGCCTCCTTTTTCACCATGTGATCTGTACATACTGGTTCCTTCACCTTCTGCCATCAGTGGAGTCAGCCTAAGGCCCTCACCATTGATGGTGCCATGCTCTTTGTACAGCCTACAGAATTGTAAGCTAAATAAACCTCTTTTCTTTAAAATTACCCAGCCTCAAGTATTCCTTTATAGCAACACAAATGGGCTGAGACAGACCAACGGGAGGGTTTGTCTCTTCAACAAACGGGAAATATGGATATTCTTACGCAAAAGAATTAAGTTGAACCTCTACCTCAGATCATATACAAAAATTAACTCAAAATGTCTTTATGACTTAAACATCTAAAACCACAAAATCTTAGAAGAAAATAAAGAGGTAAATCTTCATGATCTTGGATTTGACAATTATTTCTTAGCACCAAAACCAAAGCAATGGTAAAAGACTGAAAACTTTTACTCTTATATCAGGAACAAGATGAAGAATATCTGCTTTCACCACTTCTATTTAAGGTAGCACTAGAAGTTCAAGCCAGAAAAAGTAGGCAAGTAAAAGAAATAGTGTCCAAATTTAGAAAGTAGTAAGATTATCTTTGTTCACAGATTATATGAACCTATATGTAGAAAACACAGATTCCACCAGAATATTGTTAGAACTAATAAAACTTCAGCAAAGTAGCAGGATACAAAGTCAACATACAAAAATCAACTGCATTTCTATACACTAACATGGAACAATCTGAAAAGGAGATTATGAAAATCCATTAACAACAGGATCAAAATAATAAAATACTTAGTAATTAACCAAGGAGGCAAAAGACTTGTACAATAAAAACTATAAAACGTTGAAAATTTAAAGATGAGACAAATAAATGAAAAATTATCCCATGATCATGAACGAGAACACTTAATATTGTTAAGATATCAGCAATACACAAAGTGATCTACAGATTCAATGCAATCTCGATCAAAATCTCAATGATGACTGCAGAAACAGAAAAGTCCACCCTAAAATTCATTTGAAATCTTAAGGGACCCCAAATAACCAAAACAATCTTGAAAAGAACAACAAAATTGGGTGACTCACACTTTGTGATTTCAAAACTTAAAACAGAACAACAATAATCAAAACAGTATAGTACCAGCACTAAAACAGACATAGACCTGTGAAACAAAACAGAGGGCTAAGAAACAGACCCTCAGATATGGTCAAATGATTTTTGACAAGGGTGCCAAGACAATTTAATAAATAAAGAACAGTCTTTTCAGCAAATGGTAATGGGAAAATTCGACAACCACATGCAAAAGAATGAAGCTAAATTTTTACCTAACACCATATACTGAAATTAACTAAAAATGGGTCAATTACCTAAATGTAAGATCTAAAGCTATAAAACTCTTAGAAGAAAACACAGGATAAAAGTGTCATGACACTGGATTTTGCAATGACTTATAGGATATGACTCCAAAGTCACAGGCAGCAAAAGAAAAAAACAGACACACTGAACTTTGTGAAAATTAAAACATTTTGCATGTCAAAAGACACTATTGCCAAAGTAAAAATGCAACCCACGAAATGGGAGAAAACACTTGCAAATCATATATTTGACTGAAAAACAAATTGATATCAATAATACATACAGAACTCCTAAAACTCAACAACAACAACAATAAAAAAAACAAACAACAATGGTCAAAGGACTTGAATCGACATTTCTCCAAAGAAGATAAACAAACGGCCAATAAGCACATGAAAAGATGCTCAACATCACTAATCACTAGAGAAATGCAAATCAAAACTACAACGAGATACTATGTAACACACACTACAATGACCACTATTATCACAAAAACAAAATGATGAGAGTTAGAGAGGATATGGAATAACTGGAACCCTTGGGCACTACTGGTGGGAATGTATAATGGTACACTACTACTACTGAAAACACTTAACTGTATACTTAACAATGATTCAGATGACAAATTTTATGTTTTACCCATAATAAAAAAAATTGGAAAAAAAATGAGACTCTATACACATTTTTTTTTAATGACTGAAATTAAAATGGGTAAGTCAAGTACTGGTCAGACTATGGCATAACTAGAACTCTCATTCACTGCTGGTAGGAATGTAAAATATGTAACCAATATGGAAAACCATGTGTTCATTAAACATGAACCTATTTTCAGATGCTATACCAATCCACTCCTAGGTTTTTATAAAACAAAAATGAAAGTACACATCTGCACAATGACATATATATGTATTGCCACAGCAGCTCTATTTGTAATAGATAAAAAATGGAAAGAAAACACATGTCCATCAACAAGTGACTGGGTTAACAAATTATGGTATTTTCATATGGAAGGAATAAAAAGCAAGGAACTACTGACACACACAACAGGATGGAAGAAGTTCAAAGTAACTATTATGAGGGAAAGCCAGAGGAAAGAGTAGATACTGTATGATTCCATGCACAAAAAGTTCCAGAAAATGCAAACATCTATACTGAGAGAAAGCAGATCAGTAATTAGATGATAACAGAGTCGAATGAAGGAATTAATTACAAAGAGGAATTGTGTATTATGTTCACAGTACTGATAGTTTCAGGGACATACGAATGTCAAAACTCATCAAACAGAATACTTACATATGTATGTGCTGTTTATTCTCTATCAATTATACGTTTATAGAGTTGTAAAAATAATAGATGGCTCATAGAATTATCAAAGGGATAAAATATTACACCTAGTAAGTTTTAAATGAGCCTGTAAAATGCTGTTATTCTAGAACAGAATAAACATTTGAAAACCATTATCTTCTATTACTATTATATAACAATCGAAAAAAGTACTTAGGTAATTAAGTCAACATTTAAAGCTCCTATGATATACCTTTGCTTCTTCTTCTTGTGCTTTTTTCACAATTGCTTGTAATTGCACTTCTCGCTTAAATTCAGCATGAAGTAATTTTTCTTCCATCATCCGGCGTCGCTGATCTAGTAATTCCTCCTTCCACTTCCGGACATCCTTCTCCTACATACAGTGAATTATCATATCACATCATTAATTTCAACATACACAATCATTTAAAAGAAGTAAAAATAAGTAAATAGCTTATAAGGCCTGGGAAAATGTGCAGGAGCATACCTAACAATTAAGGACAGACTATGAAGCTAAACAACCTGAATTCATAATCTACGCTGGCCACTTACTAGCTGCACAGTCTGGACAACTTTTTTAGCCTGTCTCAGTTTCCTTGTCTGAATAATAATAGTACCTAATTCATATAGGGTTATTTGAAGATTGAGTTAATGTATGTAAAACTCTCAGAACAGTGGCTTACACATGCCTCTACAGAAATATTTGCTATTATTCTTGCACTGTTACCATGAGTATGTTTCAAATGAATATAGTGTATATTTCTTATCCTTATAAGCTTTAACATCTCTGTGATGTAACCCGCATTCAAGAAAAATAAGGAATTTCATCCTAGAAACTAAAAAATGATATCTAACAAATCACATTATTTGCATAAGAAACATTTTCTAAAGGATTAGAGTGGGTTTCACCTACAAAATATAGACAGATATAATAATTGCTATTTAATGTTGTTTTAAGAAATTAACTCCTTAAAATCTTAACTCCTTGAAACAACCTCAAATAGAATAAACAAAAGCTTGTTCTGTGCTCCAGGAAGTAAGATTCACCACCATGAAAATAAATTACAGAAAATCAGAAATTGGATCACTATGTGTGGGAAAAACTAACATTTTAATTGAAATTTTTCTCTAAATAATGTGTTGAACCATCCAAAAAAGTATGATACAAAAATAGCACTATACTAAGAGCCAGATGACACGTCCTTAAAGCCTTAGCTCTGCAAATTATTGGCTGTGTAACATTGGAAACAACACTTAGCCTCCGCTAGATTTTTTTTTTACCTCTATAAAATGAGGGTTGATAACTGCCCTGTGTACATCACATTTATTGTGGTGATCAGATGACATCACTCATGTGAAACAGTGTTGAAAAC